CGGGGAAGCAGCGGGAAATCACCAAGGGTAGACGCGGGGTAAAGGGTAAAAGTTATGGAGGAAAGCGGGAGACGCGATGGTAATGCCGCTGCCCGCTTTCACTCCGCTTCCGCCGCCAGAATGCCCGAAGTCGCGAACCAAACAGGTGACTTTCACGAAAAGCTGCGTGTAATAACCGCGCCGCGCCTAAAAAGCGCTCCCAAACAGACCCTTACACACGCACACCCACACACACACCCACACGCACACCCACATACAGACATGCACACAGACACAAGCACACATGCGTGTGCGCTCACACATACACATACATATTTATGCACACACATAAAAGATCAAAATGTTATGGCGGCGCCTAAGGACAATTTAATCTTTATTAGCCCAAGAACAATTTGGTGATTTGTCATTTATTATTGTTTAGTATAAATATGACTAATATGTTTAAGGCTTGGTTTTTGCATGAGATTTTTGTTATGAGTATTAGGGTTAGGGTTTGAGAGCGATTTTCTACCCCTTGAATTTTAGGAATTGGGAGAGATCCTCTACCCGCTCGAATTATAGGTGTTTATCCTTTATTTTATGTGTTGGTAGTATTTTTTTCTTTGGAGAAATAAAATATTTGTTTTGTCATAATCTTTATAGATAATCCTACCAAATGGTATCAGAGCAACAATTATGTGAAGAAACGAGTGGATCTCTACATACAAGATAAGGCGTGAGCATTACGGTTGGTAGCTAGGAAGATCTCGATGTACAGGGACTCGAAACTACCATTAGTCCCCGTTGGATCGGAGTCCGGTCTAACCGCATCTTACAAACACTCCATGACCTAGCCTTGCAAAACTGTCACAATCCAAGGCATTTGAGAGGTCACGGTTGTGGCGCACAATTGTCGCAGTAAGAGCTAGCTTGGAAGGCACGTAAGAGAACGGGATCACATCACTGACACAATTAGAACTCTCGCTGGAATGCCAATGACCCCGATTAAATCGCTGTTAGAGTTCTCTTGGAAGCAACATCAGAGTTGCGACATACAAGGGACATGTGGCATGCGACCCAGTTGCGATCGAGCTAGGTGGAAAGTAGGGCTGTCAATTTGGCTCGTTGTTCGTGAACAGCTCGTGTTCGGCTCGTTAAGCAGCTCGTGTTCGGCTCGTTCTTTAAGCCTAACGAGCCGAACACGAACAAATTTTTAAGCTCGAAATGTAAACGAGTCGAACACGAACAACAGTTTGTTCGCTCAGCTCAAAAAAAAAATTATATAACTTTTTATATAACAATATATTACATATATTATTTATATAATAATATATTATATATATTTATGTCTAAGTTTAAACTATAACACCTCATGTGACAATGCGGTTAGTGTCTTCTTTTGTATAGATTTGATCCAGGTTCTAATCCCACACATTACATCTATTTTTCTCAATTTTAGTTTAACGAGCCAATTTCGAGTCGAACACGAGCCGAACACGAACACAAATATTTAAATCGAGCCGAACACGAACACACAGTTCACGAGCCGATTTCGAACACAAGCTATTTCGAACGAGCCGAACACGAGCCAAGCCTGAGCTCGCTCAAACTCGGCTCGTTTACAGCCCTAGTGGAAAGTGACGATGCGACCTTACAAAACTATCGCGACTTGAGTTAGCTAGGAAGCTAACCGATCACGGCATACAAAATCTCCCTCGCACGCTTTCGTGATCGTGGTGAGGGCTAGCTGAGAAGTCGTCGACAGAATCACTTTCGAATACTCACGATTATGTGACCGCATATCATGATAGAGTCACGATTTGGCTTCATTTGACATGGAAAGCCAACGACAGGCTTACAGTATTCACATTTGTGATCCAAAATCATATAGGAATAATGACAACCAAGTAGATGTTCTGGAGAGTAAATTAGAGAGAGAGCTGATTCATATCAGATATGAAATACATAAGTGTTTCTCATCTATGTAAGAGCGTTTCTCGTCCGTGAGAGACAGTTCGAGCGGAGATTCACGATTTTGGAAGAAATGATGAAGAAAATCACCAAGTTTCATACAAGACCGTCTTCGTCTGTTGTGAGATCGAGCGACGACTCTAGAATAGGCACGAGCAGCAGCAACTAGAGGGATTTGCACGACATCATGGCAGTGTCGTTACTTTAGACAGATCGAGAGCTGCAGTATTGAGCGAAGGAAATGAGAGCGGACTCGAGTAACATACTTAGAAGAATACCGCGACATTTGGACCACTCGAACAAAGGGAAGCAAGCATGATCAAACAAAGGAGTCGGGAATGGATTTGAGCTACAACCTTTGGAGAGAATTGCACGAAATCATGAGGTTTGGAATGAACAACATCAGACAGAATATGATGACATGCAATTTAGAGCTGGAGAGGATCACTTCAAAGAATTGTAGCCTGGGATAAAGAAGCACGACGAGTTGGTCCCCTACAAAGGGCTGCCTCCGATTGCGTTATTGTCTTTTGCTACGGCAGCGGCGGAAGGCGAATGAGACAAATGAAGAAGATTGGAGGAGTTTGTAAGTGGTTGATTTAGACAATACAAAGTAGTTGAGAGGGAGATAAGATGGTGTTGCTTCATGGTGACTTCAATTTATGCAAAATGTTGGTGACGCTGAAGACTAATGAAGACAATTCAGAATGAAGGACTGATATTCCTGATCGAGTTTCATATCATGAAAAACATGGTACGGTTGGCAGAGATTCTGGTAATCAATAAGATACTGGATGAGTTTTGGAGCGACGATATTCTCTGAGATTGACTTGAAGTCAATGTACCATCGTATTCAGATATGATCGAAGGGTGTGCACAAAACAACATGTCAAGACAACGAGAGTCATTACAAGTTCCGATTACATGGAAGGGATTGCAGATGATGATTCCACATGGGAGTCATATGACTTGATCCAACAATAGTTTTTTTCATCGTGATGACAATGTGCCTTTTTGGGAGGGGAGTAATGTTATGTTGGCACGTATGGGCAATTTAGTTTTTATTAGCCTAAGAGTAATGTAGTCATTTGTCATTTATTATTGTTTAGTATAAATATGACTAATATGTTTAGATTTAAGATTATGCATGAGTTTGTTGTTGTGAATCTTAGGATTATGTTTTGGGAGAGATTTCCTAACTCTCGAATTATAGGAGTTGGAAGAGATTGCTTACCTCTCAAATTATAGGTGTTTATCCTTTATTTTATGTGTTCGTAGTTGTATTATTTTTTTTGGAGAAATAAAATATTTGATTTGCTCTAATTTTTACGGAGAATCCTACTAGAAAAGTCTATTGGTAACTAACCTTGTAGAGAATGACAATTTTACTATATTAAATGAGACGCAAGTCAAATAAGGGTTGAGCATGATAAGGGGTAGGATGAAACATAGGACTTATAAAATCAAGGCCAAATCTGTAAATTCACCCAACTCTCTAATATCTCTCAAATTCTTTTAATTTTGCCTTTGAACTAGGTTTGACTTACCTTGTTTCTTTCTCCGGGGAGTCTCCCGGTAAACATTGAACCATTAAAGAGATTCTCTAATCTTGACCTTTGGTCTCTATTAAGTTACGTAGTCTATTTTATGCCCTATAAAGAAACTTTTTATGCTCACAGATTTTTTAAATGGCGTATCGGGCATGTCATTGTGTTTTTTCTTTGCTGCCCTGATTCTTTCCTCATAAAAGGTGATGCTATCTTTAGGTTATACCAATGGAATTAATTTTATAAATAAACTCCAAAATTAAAAACATTGCGAAGCCTACGACGTGGGCAAATGATGCATTCTGTGTTTGTTCTATTTTCTGTTGAATCTCACCCTCATGGCCCAGCGGATTCAATCTTCATGTATGGCTTATATCTTAGTATTTATATACATACCACTCAATTCCTATGTATTTACATCTCTAGCACCTGAACTTTAATTTTTACATTCATGCCACCTTGCATATGCATGAAAAGGTGTATTTAACATTTTTAAAGTTAAAATGGTAGTATTTTTTATGTGATATGAAAGATTTGGGTGGCATGAATATAAAAAGTATAGGTATTAAATATGTAAATGAATAGGAATTGGGTGGTATGTATGTAAATGCCCCTTCCTTGTTATTGATATGTTTTCCCCCCATATTTCAGTATCCTACACATGCTTGTTCTTTTTGAGTCGTTCCATTTCTTTTAAATTATGGATGCTTGGTTGTGCCAGGGTTCTACCTGCCAATTATATCTGCCAGCATTCCTTTCTTTACCATTTTGAAATTCTTTCATTTCCTCACATATTTTAGGGGTTTGTTTGGGAAGATTTACGTACATACCTCTCAATTTCTATGTAGTTACATATCTAACATACAAACTTCAATTTTTACATACATATCACCTTATCCATACATGCAAACGTATCTCACCTTCTAGAAGTTAATAAAGGTGCTGTTTTTTATGTGATATGAAAGATTTGGGTGATATAAATGTAAAAAAGGTAAAGTTTAGATGTTAGATATGTAAATAAATACATAAGAATGGGGTGGTATGCATATAGATGTCTCTCACCCAAAACCTTTTTTTTTTCTTTCCATTTCTTATGAATTTCATATTTTGGCAGAAGAACAGTATTGCTGGACCTGTCAGCCAGTTAAAATTTCTGGCAGGCGGCAACCACCGTTACAAATCAATGAGCGAAGGGCTTCACCCGACCTTCTAAGATTACGCGTAATGGTGGTGGTGGTGATGATGATGACGAAGAAGAAGACGACGACAACGAAGATGATGAAATACCTAAAAGAGGTCCATAATATCACAAAATTGTGAGAGTTCAACTACAGAACTCTGTATATAGTTTGCATCTTAAACCCTTTGTTTATAGTTTGATATTATTGGCTTCCTTCCGAGAACTTGATAACTTTATTGTATTAAATGCTCGTTCATGTATGAGTACTGAATTGTTTTGATCTTGTTGATGCTTATTAACATTATGCCAACTTGTGATTTGGAGTGTTTTTATGGACACTTGTTTTTATCAGCAGTGGGATTATTGCATGGATTTGAAGCCTGTCGCCTTTTATCTATGTTATTTTATTTTATCTTTGTTACATTTGGATCAAACTTATGGAGTGACCCAACAAGTCGATCTGTTAATAAGATGACAGTTGGGAGCTGGATTTCACTGGAAATTTACATATATACCATATAATTCTTATGGATTTATATATATCTAATGCTTAAAATTTAATATTTATATTTATAACATTTTGGTGCTATAAATTTATGCATGAAAAAGGTGTTTTTATCTTTAAGAAGTTAGTAAAAGCGATAATTTGAAATTTGTGTTAGATGTGTAAATAAATAAGGATTGTGTGGTATATATGCAAAAATGTAGAACTTAGAATTACACTAGTCTGAAGTGTGATTTTTGCATCGTCTACTGTCCTCCATTAGTGTGCACTGATGACATTTTATAAGCTGCTGACATTTGGTGTCAGCGAAAATATCGGAATAAGTCTGAGGTTTATTATGAATATTGTCAAAAATGTAAGAACTGACTCCAAACATTTTTTTGGGGGAGACTAAATATTATGACGATGTTTATTTAAATTGGTTGATATTAAATTCACGGTTAATGGCATTAACGTACATACCACCCCATTCTTATGGATTTACACATCTATAACTGGCATTAACATACATGCCACCAAATTCTTCAACATGTACGCATCTTGCACTATCTTTTCTCCTTTTTTTTTATTTTTTTATTTTTATAATACAATTATAACACCCAAATCTTTCGTATTACATAAAAGATTGCATCATTTTAATTTTTAAAAAATGAAATATACCTTTCCATTTATGAGTAAGGTGGTGCAGATATAAAAATTAAAATTTGGGCATACACTATGAAAATAAATAAGAATTTAATGATGTGTAAGTAAATCTTCCTAAATATTAATACTAGTTGTACTAAGCTTAGATGAATGGTTTGACAATAGGCTTTGAGGTAATATTGAATAAAATACTATTGATCAATTTTTTTAAAACACTTAATTTCTATAAAGTCTCTGAAAATTATTTTGCATGTTCATTTTTTGCAAAAACGAATTCTTTTAATTTCACACAAAACAATAAAGGGCACCATTGCGGTGACGGTGTGGTACCACACCGCAGTTTTATCTGTTTGAATAAACTTTATTTTGACAAGTTTTTTTGCAGTTGAAATTTACGTTTTCTCACGGCTAGGTGCGGTGATAACTTTCTAGTTGCGGTCTGACTTAAAAAAAAAATTAATAATTACAACAACTTTTTGAACATCAGATTATTTGTCAGCAGCTTCACAGTTATTTTTTAATAAGTTACAGCTGTCACAAACAAACATAATAAAATCTATTTGCATTAATAAAAGCATTGGGCCTTCTAACAACGGACACTGCCAACAACACAAGCAAACTGTTTCAGCAAGCATTCTCATTTCTCAAAGCATAAACCTCCTAACAATAAAATTCCATATGGGTCCATAACAAATTTAAATAAATAAATAAATAAACAAATAAATAAACAAAATGTAGACATAAAACAAAAATATACAGTAATCACAATAACAGTTACCAACCATCTGAAACATTCTGCAACTTATGCCCAAGAATTCAAGAAAAAATATTTTGTTAAACATATCATTTGAATCAGTAAAAGTTACAATACAGCTAATAGATGTAAACTTCTACAGAAGCTGCCCTCAAGTGGAGCACCTGTCAAATAATCACCCCCATCATCTTAAAATTTCAAAATCGACCCTGAAGGTCTCCTCTTGTGTCCATAATGAGCTATCTTTTCCACATTCAATTATTGGTTTTGCTGGACTTAATTTGCTGATATTGTTTTATCTATTTTGATCCTTCTCCCACATTCTCTGACGAGGACGATGTCTGAGAGTTGATTTCTGGAGCAGCAGGACTTGTGAAGGTGAGGGAGAGGTAACAGCTTCTGAAGTTATTTGTGCCACAAATATATTATAAAATATAGATTTGATGATGGACAGAGGTTAAAAGAGTATTAGGAAGTTAAAAGGAGAAGACCTCGAGGATGCTCTTCAGGCGACTCCGTTGCAGCAAGTGGGGCTTCAGCCGTAGGCTTGCCATCTGAATATATGCTGATACCTGAGTTAACTCAAATCACGACACAAGACACAATTTTATTATTGACTTAAAACAAAATTACAATGAAGTTCGAAATAACAAAAGACAACACACAAAATAAAAGCACAAAATAAAGAATTACAACTAATGACTCAACAAAAAAAAACATAACATGCTTGATGGGGAGAGAGCTAGCGAGGGGAGGCTGAATTGGCGGCTGCTGTGAAGGCCGGAAAGATGGGGGTTGCTGTGGACGTAGGATAACAGGCTGACGATAGTAATGATCTTGAACCACAGCTGGAGAGAAATAGGAACGTTGTTGGAGGCTGGATCAGAGGGTGAGGTGAAAGCCGGAGAGGTGGGGGCTGCTGTGGAAGAAATAGGACAGCAGTTGGGAAGGTTCGCCAATATTTTCGGAGGATAGACAAAGAGCGGGGAAGCACTGACAGCGATGGGGCCGGGACATCAAGGTAGCTGCTATAGGGGTGCTTGCGGGCTGTCGGGAAGGGCATGAAAGGGTTGGACAGCAAGTTGGAAGGGCTGCCGTGGCTGGATGGGAGCAAGAAGGTGGTTGGCAATATTGGAAGAGGGGGTTGTAGTGGCTGGATTCTGAAATGGCAGCAAAGAATCAGGAGTATGGTAAGATAAATGCCTCGTAGGGGTCGAGATACAGCCGGAGCACCACTCTTACCCTTGAAGACGATCCCCACAACGATCGAGTGACAGCTGGAGCACTACCTTGATATTAGATACAACCCTCGAAGGAAAAATACCGAGGCTAAAATTGAAATTTAGATTTCAAAAACAAGACCCCTAACTCTAACCATATCATCCTCTATTCATAATGAGGCTAGGACATTATTTTAGGTAATATTTAAAATAAGAAACATAATAAAATCAGATTTCAAATTTTAGGAATTTTTTTTTTTAAATAAGAAAGGAGAATAAAATAAGACTTTAGATTTTAGAAAAGATTTTTAAAATAAAAAGAAAAAATAAAATTAGATCTCAAAATTTAGGAAAAAAAATAAAAATATTCAGAAATTCTAATTTGGAAAGGCTTATATTAGGAAGGGGCTAAGAAGGAAAGAAGAGAAGGGGAGAGAAGGGAAAGGGAGGAGCGGCAACCCTCCCACCATTGGACCGGTCGGTCCTCCATAGCCCCCGCATCAGTCTCCTCGGGTTGGGGGAGCTTCGACGTTATAGGTCGAAGCTTTTGTGTTGTTGTTAGCCAGCCCTGGATCCCATTGGCGACCATAAGTAGCCCAGTGCTGGCAAACTATGTCTTCTAATGTCACTAGCTTTCCTCCGTTGAGGTTGTCCTTGTTCTTATATGCAAAGAATAGAAAGCCATTCTAAAACTGCCCAAATCCTATCCTTCTCACGAATATGATCTAAACTTGTCCCAAAGCTTTCTTCACCACAAACCAAATAAAATCCAACATTCAGCAAGTTGCAAATGAATTTCCATCCAGTTGGCACCTCAAAAATGTTCACATTTTAGATTAATTGCTACAACATCAAGCGCTGCAGAGTTTGTCATGCTTTTGGCAACACCCTTCAGCTTAGAATAAAAGTAAGGAATGGACAGAACAACGTTAGCAGCGTTGATTGCAACAAAATCAGGCAGTCACAAATAACCTTTTACCAAGTATCATATTATGATCAACATCACCATCAGTAGCTGCACCAAACTCAAGGGGTTCATCTTGCTATTCTGATTTGCGTAATCCCCACCGCACAATCCTTGGCATAAATCAGGTTAGGGTCTGGATGGCCTACACCAAAGTTTTCTTTAGGAGTGCAATTTAACAGAGAGCTTTCTTTTGCACCAAGTTCTTCAACGAAACTGTGTTTGGCATAAGCTCCAGCAACACCATGAAGTGCATTATAACATGAATTGAAATTTGGAGAACGAGAAGCTTTTGGATTGATGAAAAATAAAAAATTGATCCCCATATCGATCTGTTCTGATTTAGCATAATCTGAGCCGGAGATACACCCACCACATAGGTTCTCCTGAGCCAAATCCTGAACAAGTAAATAACTCATATGTTTTTCATCTATAACAAGTTGGGCCTTAGCGAGTTTGAAGATTTGCAATAGTTTGGTTGATGTGTGATTATTATTATCTTTCGGGTCTTTCCTCTAACTCTTGAAGTTTTGGAGAACTGATATCTTCTGTTGTGTTTCAATAACAAAAGCTTCACACTGACCCTTAGTCTCTTCATATGAAACACTGGGGGTTATGGTTGGAATTGTAGCTGCTTGTGATGCTATCAGTTGTTCGTTACTAAGACCATCCATTAAAATTTTAAATTCTGACATCTTCTAGTCTGCATGATTTTCATGTCTCAACCAAAAGTTCTCCTTCTTCTAGGAAAGCAGGAACCACAATCTTATCAAAAGTTGCATGTTCTTTTGATCACATGGAGGAAAGACATTGAATGTATCCACGAACAAGGGGGTTCCACGGAGGAAGACGTCATCAGATGAAAATTCACGTTCAAACTGCTCTTAGTTCCTACAGTGGCTTTACCCAACTTTTCGATGACACACTGGTCGATGAAGACCGCTTCAACATGTCCAAATCCGTGACACTAGCAACATCTTATGGCCATGAAAAACTTGCGGATTGGTTTTGTTGGATAGTAGCAAGGGAGTCGTTTGGTGATACAGTCTCTCCACTTTGAAAGCTAGAGTATACCACTTTTGGAGGTAGTAGTTAGTAGGAACTGATTGTGTTTCTCGCTTCATTTTCATATTTTCTCGTACTTCCTTTCGACTTTCCAGATCACGATCGAGGGTATCCTCCAACTGAATTTCCTCTTCAATATCCATAAGCCTCTGTTGAAGATGGCGGAACTCTCGCCCTATCTCGTCTTGGGTAGGCTCGGGCACAAATCTTCTTGATGACATATTTAGGGTTCAGGATCTGAGGAAGGAAAGAAAGAAGGAACAAAGAACGAAAGTAATACAAAAAAAAAAAGAAAAAAAAACTTGTTGTGGTGGATTGGGTAGTGGTGGATGCTAGAAACTCCAAGATGTGATTAAGGTTGGGCTAACTCTGATACCAAATGATGCAAGAGAACCCAAAATTTGACGAAAAACACAATTTTACTACTGACTTAAAACAAGATTTCAATAAAGACTCGAAATAACGAAAGACAACACACAAAATAAAATTACAAAACAAAGGATTACAACTAATGACTCAACAAAGAAAACACAACACACTTGATAAGGAGGGAATCCTACAAGGGAGGCAGAATTGGCGGCTGCGGTGAAGGCCGGAAAGGTGGGGGCTGCTATGGAAGAAGTAGGACAACAGGTTGGCGATAGAAATAGTGTCAAACTGCAACTGGAGAGAAGCAGGAGCGTTGTTGGAAGTTGGATCAGAGGCTGCTGCAGTGAAGGCCTGAGAGGTGTGGGTTACTGTGGAAGAAGTAGGTTAGTAGTTGGGAAGGTTCGCCGGCACTTTGGGAGGGTGTACAACAATCGGAGAAGCACTGACAGAGATGAGAAAGATCGGGACAACAAGATAGTTGTTGTAGGGGTGCTGACGGGCTGTCGGGAAGGGTCTGAAAGGGTTGGACAACAACTTGGAGGGGCTGCGATGGCTGGACGGTAGCAGGAAGGTGGCTAACAGCAGTGGAAGAGGGGGTTGTAGTGGCTACATTCTGAAATGATAGCAGAGAAACAAAAGTATGGTAAGATAAATGACTCGTCAAGATCGAACTTAACCAGAGCACCACTCGGACCTTTGGAGATGATCACCACCTCGGATAAGGGAACCAAAACAATACCTCAAAGTTGGATCAACATTGGAAAGGGAAAATACCAAGGCTAAAATCTGAATTCCGATATAAAAAATAAGACCGCTAGCTCTAAACACGTCATCTTCTATTTATAATGAGGTTAGGACTTTATTTTAGGCAATACTTAAAATAAGAAAGAAAATAAAATCAAATTTCAGATTTAGGAAAGACTTTTTTAAAATAAGGAGAATAAAATCAGATTTTAGATTTTAGGAAGGGTTTTAAAATAAGAAGAAACAATAAAATCATATATCATAATTTGAAAGAGGAATAAAAATATTCAGAAATTCTGATTTGAAAAGACTTTTATTAGGAAGGTGCTAAGAAGGAAGGAAGGAAAGGGGAGGAGCGGCAACCCCCCTCCCTTTGAGGACCAGTCGATCCACCACATCCCCCGCGTCATATGCTTTGTATTATTTTAATACAATTAACTAACAAATTCAGAAATTAGTGGTATTTAAATGTCCCATTGAAATCTTATTTCAGTTTTGGTCTATGAAAGATGAAAAATATTATGCTTCAATAGTTATAACAACTTTGATGTTATCAACATTACCTTCAATTTGAGTCTAGAAATATATATATCATAAATATAGATTTGACAATGGACAAAGGTTTAAAGAGTAATAGGAAGTTGAAAGAAGAAGACCTTGAGGTTGCTCTTCCAGCAACTCGGTTGCAGTAAGTGGGGCTTCAGCAGTAGGCTTGCCATCTGAATATAGCCTTGTATTATTTTAATATGCTTAAAAAACAAATTCAGAAATTAGTGGTATTTACATGTCCCATTGAAATCTTATTTCAGTTTTGGTTTATGAAAGATGAAAAATATTTTGCTTCAATGGTTATAACGATTTTGATGGTATCAACATTACCTTCAACTTTAGTACTGAAATATATATAAATGATTTTAATCAGTATGAGTTTATTCGAGATTTTGCATCTCTACTTATAGAGTAGAATTTAGATTAAGCTTGGTAACTTCTATCAAAGAAAAGTACTAACTGATATGAAAATATGAACGATATATTACATCTTGCACATATTTATTCACCTAAGAATATGAGACTTTTGCTTTTTGTAGAGGCCTGCAGATCCCAACCTTGTACAATGTTGGATCGCCAGCTTTGCAATCCCATTTATTGCCAAGTTAGCCTCTAAAAATGCTAAAACCCCTTGAACTACAAAAAAGATTTTCTCCATGCCTAACTTGGATTGCCATATTGTGAGAAGTAGATCTCAATAGTTCTTTGATTAGAATATTAGTCAATTGCTTATTCATTCGAACACCCGGGATACATATCATTCCACTGTTTTTGTTTTTTATTTTATTAAATACCAATCGAATTCTATGCATTTGATTTGTCCTATTGGAATTCATTATGTGCGGCGACTATGGCATTTTATCGTCATAGTATAATTTCATAATAACATTTCATCTCATCCCTAATTCATCCTTCATAAATCTAGCTTCAATGCCAAATCTGACGACAATTGATTGCTTCTCCAATTGATTATGTTATCACCCAAAAAAATGTTGTAACTGTAAGAAGCCTTCCGTCTATGAGGGATCTTGCCAAATCAGCATGTATGTATACTTCTAAACTGAATTTCCACTTCTTTGAACAAAATTTCTTTGTCAAGCTACTACTTCGAGGTATTCAAGAGTTTTGAACGTTGAATGTAAATGTGCTTTTTTAGGATAATACATAACTAACTTGGAGCACTTTCAACATATACCATGCTTGATCTTCTGTGAGCAAATTAGATAAGTTTCTCAATCAACCTTTCATACCTCCCTTCATCAGCTCATAAGTTATCGCTTGTTTATCAAAGTTCATGGTAGCAGTCATTCAGAACTTCTATGTGCGAACATCCCATCATAACTATTTTAATTGGTAGATCTAGGATATATTTTTGTTGATAGATGAATATCCCAACATTTGAGTGGACCGTTTCAATTCTAAGAAAATATTTAAGAAGAATTCGGATAATTGATCTTTCACACTTCTTATTCTTTGAGATATGTGTGCAACAAGATATTATCTCAATAAAACTAGACTATTTGTAAAAGACTTCACTCAAATTTATAGAGATGAATATGGAGAAACTTTTGCTTCAACACTATAGAAACTTACATTTTGCCCATGATGGATTTTTTTTAAATATAAGTAAGTATGATCTTTATGACTTTGTTCGATGTTCGATAAAATTTTTAAACCAAGCTTTTGAGGATTGTTTAAGCCTATATAGAGCTTTCTTCAAGTTGAGGACATGTAGAGTGCTAAAATCTTAATTAAAATTTAGTGTTGTCCCATATAGACTTTTTGTTTTAGTTATGTCGGAATACATTTTTTACATCCAATTATTGTAAGGAACAATTGAGATTGGCTGTTGGGGATATAAGAATTTCGATGATATTTACATTTGCAATTGAAGCAAAAGTTTCTCCATATTCATCTCTATAAATTTGAGTGAAATCTTTTACAAATAGTCTAGTTTTATATCTTTTGAGTGATCCATTTTTATTGTATTTGATAATCTAGGTCCACTTAAATCTAATTAAATTTTTTTTTTTTCATTTAACAATCTACAAAGATTTCTCATAATCAATTTTGATATATGTTGGGCAGATCTACTATGAAAGCTATACATTTATTGAGAGGTTTGATGGAGAAGTTCAGAGATAATAAGGAAGATCTACATATGATTTTTATTGATTTAGAAAAACAGTGTTCGAATAGAAGGAGGATTGACCAAATAGTTTCCTATTTCTGTTGGTGTACATCAGGGATCAACTTTAAGCCCATATCATTTTACTTTAGTTATGGATGGTCTTACTGGACACTTACAGGAGGATGTACCTTGATGCTTGCTGATGATATCCCTCTCATGGATAAGAAGAGAGAAAAGGCTCAGGAAAAACTTGAAATATGGAGGTCTACCTTGGAGTCTAAAGGCCTTCATTCGAGTAGGAATAAAACTGAATACATGGAATGTAATTTTAGCAGTAGTAGCTCTAGTAACAAAAATGTAACTATGGGTGACCAAACCAAATTATTAAAAGGTGTG